ATATTAATAAATTATAATAAATGCAGTTATTAATTATTTAGAAATATACCTAAGTATTTCTTTTAATGTAAGGAGGAAAAGAGGGAGTGTGGTGATGTGAACATAATAAACAGTTTTATTGGCAATATCTCCATTTCACATACTCCTTTTTTAACTTCAGTCTTTGTCCTGTCCCACAGTTGCTCTCCAACAGAAGGCAACCACCTGAGGAAGTCAGGGAAGAAGAAAAAAAAGATGACCTTACGGTCTTTCACTCCTGTTTATACCAGTGTCTTGATTCCAAGCCCCCCTGGAGCAAAAAGGTATCTTTGAAGGCAGATTTATGTCCTGCTGTCCTTGGTAGGACACAAGTGAAATTCACAGCAACACAGACCCATAACACATATACCTATAGCTACTGTTCAATTGGTAAACACAGATCCTGAGAATTACAGGAGTTTATGATGAAATAGTCTGTCTTTACTAATAGCAATTGTTTAATTCTAACTTTCAATGATGGAATCCTAATGAGTTACTGAAAACTCTGTACGTGTGCATCTACACAAACACATCGTTTGCCTTGCTGATCTTGACTCAGCAAACTCTAAGTTGCATAAAATTGGCTTATGTGGTACAGCCACATTTCAAGATTGGGCTCATTTTAGGGAAAGGCTATCAAAATTAAATTTAGTTTGCCTAGTTAAAAAAAAAAAAGTAGGCCCACAAAAGAGAGGAGGAGAAGACAGTATATGAACTGTGTACACTTTTTTGTTTTCTATTAGTCACTAATACACACTATCTGTTCTAAGTTCATTAACCCAATTGCTCACCAGAAGTGTCTATATATATATATATTTACATTTGCATGTGGAATAAGCTAAAATGCCAAAGATAATCTTAATTCAGAAAAAGATGGGTCCAACACTTTAAACACACACTGCTTTTTCTTAAATGCAAAACCTAGAAGCTACTGTAGAATCCAAAAACCATAAGAATCCATACCATAAAGGGATAAATGCTGGGATCTTCACAGGTATGAAAGCACTGAGCATATCACCAAGACAAGTCCATTAAAATTTCACATCCAAAAATATGCTTTCGGGATTCAGAGTTATGTATTAACATTACAAAAACCTTGAGAGGGTGTCTAGACTTCTCTGGGACAATGAAAAAACCCATCTGCTACAGAAATGCTTAGCTGTATCTATTTCAGCTAACATGATGCCAGTTTGACTGTTTCCCTGACTCTATAGTATGACACACTTGTTTCTCTTCTTTGCAGTGAACATCTTTTCCGACAGCTGTGCGCTATACACTGGCTTTTGGAAGCTTTGACTCTTGAATCCAACAGTTCGATGCACTCCATATTAACCTGTTGGAATCCAATGTATGTGCACAATGCATGATAGTAGATGGAATGAGGAGCTTGGGATCTTTTGTCCTTTATATGCTGCTGTTTCTCATCTTTCAAGTAATAACTGTTTCAGTGAAATGTTATTCTGTGCCATGTAACATAAGCAAATTTTTCATCAACTTTACCCGCACACAGTCAGCAGGGAGTTGTACAGTCAAATCAGTAGCACAGCATGGTCCTCTGTTATTGCAAGTTGCAGAACCAGGAGAAAATACTGAGCTATTGCAGCCAAATTTAGTTGTGTTTTCTTTCCTTTTTCTCTTTTGGTTAATAATTATGCAAATTAAATACATGTAGTACTATATGTGTGTATATTCCCATAGCCTTCCCTCAGGGGGTTATCCCAGTGAACTCAACAGAAATTCCATATGCATTATAATTACAGAATAAAGCCAGCTATTAAGTGATATTTAGTAGCTGGTTTTATTCTATCAATTATGTATGACAGTGATGGGTACTTGTAAAAGATGCATTGCTTCTGAACTTTTATACTGTTAAAAGTAAATATTAAGTTCCCAACATTCTTAGTCAATATAATCATGTTGACATAACATGTGTTTAAATTATTCATAAGTGTTTGGTGAAACAGTGAACAGTTGTTATGCTCTGATTTGCAGGGCAGAGCTCTTCAAAGCTGTTCTGTTCTCTCTGTATATTCTTAATCAAGACAAACTGTGCCTAAGTATAACAGATGCGGCAGAGTAGCATTATATAGAATTAGCGTGATAAATTGGAGGGGAGAATCAGCCCAGTATGTATTGTAGATGGGTTCTTTACCCTTTCACATGTGAGGACCAGCCAATAGACTGGGATGAAATAAACAGTTTGTCGGCAAGTCTCATGGATACAGGCTGACAGCAGAGTATAAATGCATAAGGGTCGATTAATTTCTGGGTTCTGAAGTAGTGCAGTCTCTTGTTGCATACTTCCTTCTGCTCCATGTGTCTGTCTAACCACCACTCCTCTCCTTCAATGTCACTTGAGCTGATCTGCATACATACATTCTTCATTACACAGGAACCATGAAAAATTAGGTGTACATTTAGATCATATAGTGTCTGAACAAAAAGAGAGATTTTTTTTTTTTTTTTAAATGTGGTGAAGGAAGCAAGCTTAGAGCACTAGTCTGCTGTGTAAAACCTGTGACTGATTAGGTGGGGACTGCATGATAAATGAGACTACCTCAGCAATGACCTGTTGTTATACCACAGCTGTGAGGACTGCAGCTTCCACATTTACCTTTGTCAACATGATGTAACATTTAAACTTTTGGACTAGTACAGGTCCTCATTCAGCCAACAGCACTGAAAAATCAAATTTGTATGAACCTGCTGTCACTTGCATCCATGAAATCTTGCTATACTGGACAAAATTCTTCAGTACCTGCACAGAGGAAGTTGAGAGCATAATCTGGCCCAATACATGCATGATAGTTTGTAGAATAACTGTGCTTTCTTTAGATTCTTCTTCACTTGTGACTATAATGTACTCATGACTTACAGACCTTGCATTGTCTTTCCATTTCTTATCAGCAAAGATATACATCATAGTAGTGGTCAGCCACCATTTACTCTCCAATTATTGCATTTTTTAAAGAACTTACAATAAAAGCAAGACACTCAAAATGGAAAATTAATGAAATTGTTTTCATTTAGGTACCCTGGTGGTTGTAAAAAAACAGTAAAAGAAATCGAAGAGGAAAAGTTTGCAACATGTATGTGGGAACTCTTTATTACAAACACAAAGGTAAGTTCATTGTTGATTTCTTCTTCGGGATCTAATTCAACTTTTCAAACATTTGTTCTGTTGCTTAATTGAAATCCCCTGATACCACATTTTATGCTCTGGATCTTGTGACTGCAGAGTACTTGTGTCTCAGGTTTTGAAGAATAATAATTTGATACTAGGTAATAGGAAGAGCAGTATGTAGCTGATTGAAACTGTGGCTTGGTCTTAGTGATAAGTACTGATGTGGGAAGAATTCAATATTCAGCTAAAACATAACTAGTCTCTTGTTTGCATTTGCCCCCTTTTTAATGACCCAGAGTCATGTAACAATACTTGTTCACACAAATAGGTCTTCAATCAAATGGGAATTTCAGACTGGTATCCTGAAGGCCTTTTATTCTAGTAAATTCTAGGCTGGGCGAGGAATGGATTGAAAGCAGCCCTGAGGAGAAGGACTTGGGGGTATTGATTGATGAGAAGCTCAACATGAGCTGGCAGTGTCCTGGGCTGCATCAAAAGAGCTGTGACCAGCAGGTCAAGGGAGGTGATCCTGCCCCTCTACTCCACTCTTGTGAGACCCCACCTGGAGTACTGCGTCCAGCTTGGGGGGCCCCAGTACAGGAGAGATATTGAGCTGTTGGAGCAAGTCCAGAGGAGGGCCATGAAGCTGATTGGAGGGCTGGAGCACCTCTCCTATGAGGACAGGGTGAGAGAGCTGGGATTGTTCAGCCTGGAGAAAAGGCGGCTCTGGGGAGATCTAATTGCGGCTTACCAGTACCTGAAGGGGGCCTACAGGAAAGATGGTGAGGGTCTGTTTATCAGGGAGTGCAGTGACAGGACAAGGGGTCATGGGTTTAAGCTGAAGGAGGGTTGATTTAGATTAGATGTTAGAAAGAAATTCTTTACTGTTAGAGTGGTGAGGCACTGGAAGAGGTTGGCCAGAGAGGTTGTGGCTGCCCCTGGCTCCCTGGAAGTGTTTTAAGACCAGGTTGGATGAGGCTTTGGGCAACGTGGTCTAGTGGAGGGTGTCCCTGCCCGCAGCAGGGGGGTTGCAACTAGATGATCTTTAAGGTCCCTTCCAACCCAAACCATTCTATGATTCTATGGTTGCCTTTTTACACAGAATTTAAAGCTGAATTCAGAAACAAATTCTAAATGTTGAGACCTTTAAAGAAAGCAGGATTCACTTGCCACATTCAAAGTCAAGGAAAGAACTAGCAATTCTGATGAAAGCTTTTTAAAAGAAAAATAAGTTTAATACCTGAGAGGAAATTAAATACTAGAAAATTATCTGTAACACTTGGTAACTGTTTTACTGTCTTTCTGAAACCACAGAGTGACTTTTCTTCTTGCAACTGCTGGACTAGAGGAAAATGAAGGGGGAATGAGTGATGCTTAGGAGTCAAATTAGGAGAATTTATAAAGAACCAATCAGTTTCTCACTCTGTAGCATATCTTGCATTTTGATCTTCAGTCATTTGCTTAAGCTTTTAGTTTCTTGCTTTGCCTCCTATAAGGCTACATTAAACAAGTTTTGTGAAGTGCTTTTAGAACCCCAGGTGAAGCACTCTTAGAAATATGAGCTGTTGTTACATGCAGGCTATTTGTTCCTGATATTTGTCAACACCTGCAGCTTATTACCCTCATGACATAATAATTAAAATGATTCAGTATAAGATTACAATTTCTGTTGGGGAATAAGCAGCAAAAGTTGTGAAACTTTTAAGAGACAAAGATTGTGTGTTTATGCAAATATTCTTCCTGCTGTTAGCAAACAGAGCAGGAAAGTCAGCGAGTCACATAAATAGCAGAGTTGTTTCTAAATATGAGGCTTTCTGATTTTTTCCATACAGTCTTACCAGTTCTCTAAAGTCAGGTCCAAATGATCATGAGCAGAAGAACCAAAGTGCATGTCAGTCTTGACATGTCTCTTAGCATTTACATTGCTGAGACTTTTATTTTTTTTCCGCCCTGAATTAATGACAATTTCCTTTCTGTCATTTACGCTATTATTACTTGAAGACTGCTTTTCATATTTGATATGAAACTTCTAGTGGAAATACTGGATTCCTTCAGGGGCAGTGGCTTTATAATGCATATTGTTCTGATTATCAAGCCTGAAGAATTTAGTCTGCTTTCAGACTTCAGTTTTACATTCCTGACACAGGAAATTCATTTGCCAGGTTATTGGGTGCTGGGACGAGACCTGACCATTTATCAAACCACTTTGACCTGTTCTTCCCTGTACATGAGAAGGTTGCTCTATTACCAGCCTTGTCTGTAGCTGCAGTGTTACTCATTTACAAATTAGCTTAATTTGTTGGCATTAATGCTATAGCAGAGGAGTATTGAAGATAGATATCAAAATGAAGGAAGTACTACCCAAGAAATCACTAGCTTGTTTGAAGTCACTGGAGAAAGATCTATGAGGTTACAGGAGGACCAGAAGGATATAATATTGGAATTAGTTACAGAAATATGATTCTTTGATGTCAAATCACTATAGAAACCCCCTCCTTTCTATTCATTTTCTTTCTTCTATGTACAGAAATGCACCTGGAAAGCACGATACACTCCACTTCACAGGAAGATAAACAAGACATCTATTCCAGGCATCTCTCAGCTTAGCAGTCAGTCATCTCCCCGTGGTCAAACTCCTCGTGGCAGCGAAACTTCCACTGTACTTTGCTCTGAAGACAACGTCAAGATTAGTGTAGATTCATCTGATGTTATGAGTGAGTCAGCACAAGCTAAAGAACAACCACTTCTTTTCCCCTGTAAGTTACTTTTCTTGACTGCCAATATCAAATGGATTTGCTTTCATTGTTACTAGGGAGAACCTACATCAGAGACACTGCTAGATGTACCAGTGTATTTCTCTTCAAGCATATGGAACTTGGCACAAGTTTCTCTGTGCCCTCCGTGTTAGCAACTTGGTTTAAAGACAATATAATCCCATGTGGATATTAAGAGTTTTAATGTAATGTTCAGTTAAGGCAGTTGTATAATCAGACTGTCATCCACATCTATAGGGTCCAACAGGTGGTCAAAACAGTGAAACTGTTCACTGCCATAACCAACTGATCCACTGACTATATATCTGTCGAACTTAGGGGTTTCTTACTCTGTATTCCTCCTACTCATCCATCAGTGATAACCCACGCTTGATAGACCTGACAGAATAGTTTCTCTCTTAGCTCTGCAATGCGTTTCAGTACAAAGCCAGGTAACCTTAAGTCTTTTCCCTTCCAAGTAAAGCTGGACCAGAAAAGCACATTAGCATTTAGTACTGCTAATTACCTTTTAATTGACATTTATAATATCATTATTAGACTGCTCTGCTAGACTCTAAATTGCTAATAAGGAAGGAGCTCTTGGAATCGTTAGGGATAGTTCTGTGAACATTCAGTATCTATCAAAAAGGCAAGAACAACCCTAAGAGTGAAGTGGAAGGCAAAGCAGAAAACAGATTATGCAAAAATACAAATGTTTTATATATGCTTCTTGAGTTCTGGTCCTTCCAATTCAGACAGGCTGGTATCAGAAGTAGTAAAGTTTGATGGGGGGGGGGGGGAGGAGATACAGAATAGCTTCCAGATGAGAATCAATTAAATAGACTAGGGCTCTTCAGTGCAGAAAAGAAATGGCTGAATACAAGATTATGACAGATCCCTGCAACATCATGAAATGCATGGGGAAAGAAGTGATTACAGAGTGGTTATTCACAGCTTCCCTTGACACCAAATTTACAGCACACCAAATTAAATTATCTGCTAGAGAATTTAAAGCAATGGGAAGTGTTTTCATGATTAAACTTAAGAATTCATTGCTACAATATATTGCTGGAAGTATATTCAAGTCCAAAAGCATTTTAAATTAATAGAAGAGAAAACAATTAATTGCTCTTAAATGTAAAGGAATGGACATATTCTCTGGGTCTGAAAGACCTTTAGGTTCAGACTGCCAGAAGCTGGGTGAATATATTGGGAAGCTATATATAGAGCCGATATATTGGCTGATACTACATACTACCTACACAGCTGCTGCTATCCATGGCCCTAAGCACAGATGAATGGCCTTCCTATGAAAGTAGTGGAGAATTCAAAGCTATAATTTCAAGCAATTTGTTTACAGATGTAGGTGAACAATTGGTTTGTGTGTTAGATGAGATTTGAAAATAATCTTGAGAGCTGTAACAGCTGGTAGCCTCCGTTTGCTCTGTGATATAAAGAAATATCTTGCAGTATGTGTGATGTGGGAAGGGTGTTCAGTGTACCCTTTGGAACAACATCTGTCACGTGATTGCCTATGATTTCAGGGGACTGCCGTGAGTTACCAGTCTGGTCCTCTCAAGGATTGTGTTCCTAGCGCTAAAAAATATGGGAAGTTAGTTTCTGCAGGGCAGCTCTGTAGCAAAGGTTGGATTCTGTAATGAATTCTGAAGCTGCTAGAATCATGTTTAATCCAGTATTCTGATTATAGGATGTTTCATGGACAAATCAGAAACAGATTGCAAGTACAGCTGCCCTGTAGCCTTATACCCCAAATTCACAAGGCTTCATGTAACTCAGACATAATTTTGAGAGCGCACGCAATCTTAACCCACACGTATGCATATATATATCTCAAGTGGGAAAGAGATTCTGTAGTGGCAGCTAATCAGTAGATACAGCTGAGTGTGACTCATACAGAAAGATTTCTTTTAAGGAAAGAATTCATAACTCAATATAAAGCCTTTTGTCCAACTGTAATTTAGATGCTGTTGTTTGTGGACTGCTGCTGTAGAATGTCTCTTATACAAATTTGATTTTTCAGTGCTGTTGGCTGAATGAGGACCTGTACTAGTCCAAAAGTTTAAATGTTACATCATGTTGACAAAGGTAAATGTGGAAGCTGCAGTCCTCACAGCTGTGGTATAACAACAGGTCATTGCTGAGGTAGTCTCATTTATCATGCAGTCCCCACCTAATCAGTCACAGGTTTTACACAGCAGACTAGTGCTCTAAGCTTGCTTCCTTCACCATATTAAAAAAAAAAAACTCTCTTTTTATTCAGACACTATACGATCTAAATGTACGCCTAATTTTTCATGGTTCCTATGTAATAAAGAATATGTATATGCAGATCAGTTCAAATGACATACATTTTCTTCACACTGAGAAGTAAAATGTGAGACCTGTATCTGAGAGATTAAACTCTTAACTGGATTTTATCCCCAAAGCTTTCTGGCCAGCGGTTTAGCTTTGAATTCTCAAGTAAAAAACATATTTTTAAGAGAAGGTATAAACATTTGTGCAAAGGGTCTTCATTATAAAACGTATACCTGAATTTGGGGCTTTTCTTTGGGATTGATCAATGTCTTTTCAATTGATTTATCATTGTTAGATTCCCTGCAAAACAGGTTAATATTAGCACCCCATTTCACAGAGGATTAACTAAGGCTTAGAAATCAAGGTCAGGCGAAATTACTACATTCTTCTTTGCTGTTTTTGTCTTTTCTAATTCTGACTAGCTCACAGCTATGGAGGTTAATATTCCAAAAATATTATGAATATGGACAACCTTGAGTATTTGTTTTCCCAATTGCTCCAGATGGGGAATTGGAACAGATTTTAATGCTACAGAATGGAGGGCGGAGAGGTATTGTGCCCTCTATTTCTGTTGATCAGCCAAAAAGAAGAGCTGTATCTTTGTGGATTTAGCCCTGGTTTGCTTCCTGTCATCTCCCTCCAAAATCTGCCAACAGGACTGCTTTCAGGACTGGATTTAGACAACTCAACTGATCTTCGAGAAAACATCAAATGCAGCCACTGCTTAGTATAGTCCTCATCCTCCAAAGCACCATTATCTGCCAAGTAGATGAGTTTCAGATATCCAGTTATGCCATCTGCCCAATGTTACCTATAAATAGAAAGGACTGGAGTCTTCTAAGAAGGGTTCTGACACTGCATGCCAAGAACAAATGAGATTTGTATGCAGCCTTAGCTCCTTGCCCGTATCAATGTTGGGTTCCAGACCCTGGGGGGGTCAGGTGTTGTATTCAAACTGCTCCTCAGCTCTAGAAGGTCCACTGGCGTAGCCAGCATCTTAACAGGCTTACACTTTGAGACTAGTAAGAGTCACAGTGGAGCCATCACTAGAACCAGTCAGTGCTAAAACTTAGAAGTTTCTGAGTGGGACCATGGCACTCTTGAAACTCACCTGGCACAGCTAAAAGGGGATATTCATTATAAGCATGGTTCTCAAAATTTTAGCCCAGCAACTTGTTCCCTCCGTGTTGTGATGTAACCTGGCAGGCAGCTAAAACCACCACGCAGCTCCTTCTCCCCACTTACCCTTGAAATGGGATGGAGGAGAGAATTGAATTGAAACGTAAAACTTGTGGGTTGAGATAAAAACAGTATAATAGAACAGAAAAGGAATAGAATAATAACAATAATGATGATAAAAGAATATACGAAACAAGCAAGGCACAGCTGCTCACCAACCATTGACCAATGCCCAGCTAGTTCCCAAGCCACGGCCCTCCCCAGTTTATGTACTGAGCATGACATATGTTATGGAGTGTCCCTTTGGCCAGTTTGGGTCAGCTGTCTTGGCTGTGCCCCCTCCCAGCTTCTTGTGCACCTCCTGCAGAAGTCTCATGCCTCCTTGCTGGCAGGGCCTAGGAATCTGAAAAGTCCTTGATTTAATTGTAAACACTGCTTAGCAACAACTAAAAACATCAGTGTGTTGTCAACATTATTTTCATACTAAATCCAAAATACAGCACTATACCAACTACTAGGAAGAAAATGAACTGTCCCAGATGAAACTAGGACACTTACATTTATAAATTCACAGTACAATATTGAAATCTGTACTTTTAACAAGTAGAAATAGCTTGTGCTGCTATTTAACGCAGTCAACATTGAACAGTCATTTTCTATTATACTATATGTGGTGCTTCACAAAAATGTAGGAAAAGGACCTTTTGAATTTGGGGATTACAACTTCAAGATGTTGTGTGCTCAGTAAAAGGTCTCTTATTACCATGTAGGGCATATTGAGTGCCACAGAGGATGATTTAGAATTTGACAGCTAACACTGAGATTTGTAATAACAAGTGTGACAGTTGTTTTACTGCATGAGTGATTGGAGGGAATAACACAGAGAAGATGGTCCTCTCAGTGTCTCTCTGGCAGTTTGGCATCAAAGCAGAATTGAAACAACAGCGGGAAGGAAAACAAAGATGTCAATTTGAAGGAAAACAGTGAGTTAAATTAGCTTTCCAGGTATTCAAGGGAGAGGAGAATATAAGCATTTACATTACAGTAGAAGGCAGAAAGAATAAAGAGTGTTACTAGTGAGACACCTGTTCAAAGGTGGATAATCTGGAAACTATAGCCAAGGAAGGGCTGCTTGAGGACATCTTAAGTTTTAGTGGATGCTGATAAGGAGACACAGAGGGATAATTAGATACCTGTTGATGTTTAAATGTGTTAAATATATTCAATTCCATGTGATATTTAAAAGAAGAATGGCAAAGTGATACTGTAGACTGTAGTGATACTGTAGAAATTCAGAAGATTTGACAGTTAGCTGGTAGAATGCTAACAGCACAGTACAGGAACTGAAAACAGACTTTCTGCATAGTTTGTTCAAATCTACCAGTTTTTCTAATATGTTGTTTTTATAAGCATCTACAGTAAAAATATTTAGTATCTCCTACCTGATTTTTTTTTTTTTTTTGCAGCTGAAAGAACAAAGCTTATGTTTTCAAAAGTGATTAATGAGTTGGGTGCATTCATATTTGGGTACCTATCTTGAAACCTCTTTAAAAAGCTACTTTTTTTTGAAGAAACTTTCATTTTCAGAAATATTAATAGCAGGTTTCTTTAGGATGTCTCGTCTAGACCACCATAGATAGTATCCTCTCTGCAAGGGAGAGAGGAATGTTGGCATGTTTTTACAGAGGTTTTTTTATCAGCCCTACAGAAAGTCATCCAGACAATATGTGAAGAGGTATCAAAAGATGTCCATAAACAAGAAGATACGGTTAAGAAGATTGGACTGCAGCGGTATGTTACCTGATGGGTTTCTGAATGACTAGGGGAAGCAACTCATC